TGTACAGGGTTTCCGAGGGTGTAAATCTTTACGGGAGTAGAAAGCCTCATCTTTCTCCCGTGGAGCGGCTGGTAGTTTCGAACCGCTGACATTAAGGTTCGCAGCCCGACTCGTAACCACTACGCTACCAGAGCTCCTTTAGGTGTTCTATAATTACTGAGCCTTATTATATCTGTAAAAATGGGGTATAAGAGAGATGGTTACACTGGGCATAGCTGTGAGGAAGGAGAGGGTCCAGATTTGCTCTCGGTTGTTAACCGGAAGGTTGGTAGCTTAAACCCACCCACTGGTGCTTTGGAAGACAGGCCTGGCAAGCTGCTTCCATAAAGATTCCATACAAGAAAACCCTTTGAAGCAGTTCTTCTTTGTAACACTTGGGATCATCATGAGTCGGACTAGACTCCAAGGCAACAGATTTTGTTTTGCCTTGGGTTTGTTTTTTTAACCTTAAAGTTAATTCCCCAAAAGGTATCTCCATCGTTGTGCTGTTAGGACCTAGATCAGCCTGTGTGCCTCTTATGCTCCATAGCCTCCCATGGCTCCTTACTGTCGTGCAAGACTCCTCCCACCTCCTACCATCCGCCCCATGACTCTTCTCACCCCTTGTCTCTCTTACTATGAGTGAAGGAGCTTGAAAGAGCTAGGTGCTTGTGAGAAGGAGAAGCTTCAGATAAAGATGCAGTTTGGACTCTATTTTTTTCCTGTTTATTGCTTATTCTGAGCTGGCCTTCAAAAGTCAACAGCCTACCTTAGGAAACTGATGGGCTCCCCTCCTCCTCCTTCTCATATCTTCCCAGGAAGAGCATTCACCCATGCTGACACTTGAAGGATCCATAGATTAAGTGACTCAAACTTGTCAGTTACTAAACTGATGTTTAAGTAATCCCACCATTGTCTTGGGGCTGTCAACGCAGGATTTTGTAAATGTCAACCCATCAGCATTTTTTTTTTTTCTTGTAAGTTTCTGGATTTTCTGTATTTAACGCTCTGTAAAAAAATTCCTTGTGCTACAATATTTTTCATCAATCCTCACCAAGTGCTGCCCAATTTGGATCATTTTTGTATCTTCAATAAATGCTTTAATTTTAACAGAAGCTCTAGTTTGCTTTTTGACATTTCTGGTATCAGAAACTAAGATTTCTAAGGAGCCTTACCTTTGTCAGTCCTAAAAGGACGAGGATCTGGAATTCTGGCACCAACATGAGCCGATTGAAGCTCATCTGTTTCCACAGATTCCCAAAACTGACTAGGATAAGTCCCTCTCAAATGTCTAGCTCTGCCTTCTTGTGTTGAGCTCTTCGAGAATTACTTATGTATTCTAGTTTTGTTTTGTCCCCCTTTTTTTGTTTTTTTCTTGTTTGTTTTTATTCTGGTCATGCAAGAATTGTTGGGAAATTTTGCCTCTACTAATGGCAGTAGCAGGAGGTTCTGGGGCAATTTACTGTCCTAAACATTTTCAAGTTTGTAAAATCTCAGGCCCTATGAGCCTCAAAGAAATAAAGGACACAAGATGACCACAAATGCCGGAAGGTAGTCCTCAGCCATGAAAGGCAGTTGAAGACTCGTGCGTCAGGATAAACTGGTTCAGGGGATGGGCCAGAAGCAGTAGGCTGCCCGCCAGTAACAAAATAATGCCCTTGCAACACGGTAGACATTGATACAAGAAAAACACACGTCCAAATTCCACAGTGATCCTATCAGCATTCTTGCTGCCGGAGAGTCTTACATTTTGAACAAACTCAAACTTTCTTTGAAGCTTGGAAATGCCATAACTAGGGGCAGTGTGAAATTCCTTTCTGAGACTCCTGGCCAGTATATGGACAGACACTGTGGCTCTGCTACCTGCTTGGCATTTTCTTATGAAGGACAGTCTGGAAACCATGTGACTCCTTTTTTAGTTCTTTTGAATGATCTGGATTGAATTTTCTGTGCAATTATTATAAAAGAAAGACTCCTAAATTAAACAGTGGGACACTTTAAAAAATGAGTATTTGAAGCTTCTAGAGGATATGATGAGAGTAAAATTACTTCTGTACAAGATAACGCTTAAAAATTCACTAAACAAAATGTAAGAAATTGCAGTTCCAGATTTCTGTGCCAACTACCCAAGCTGTCCCAGGACCACAGGCTTCTTTGTCGGTCACCTCTCTTTTGTCTCTTTTACTGCTTCCCCTTTTTAATGTAACTAAAGATTTCTCTACTTTTACACTTAACAACAGCAACAAAAATATTGTTAAAACTTCCCCTTTCCCCCAATCAGCCTACTGAGAACATAAAGACGATCCCTGAATTACCTTTTTAAACATAGTATCCACATGCCAGTGTGGCTATGGAGGTTCTTCCTCTCATTACCCGTACTCCTTGGATGTTTTCAGAATGACAAAATTGCTAAAGATTTTCCAAAACTGCAGGAGGATCCTCACAGGGTTGCTGAGGAGTTTAAAATCCTTGTTGAGGCTTTTCAGCCTGGACTCCCTGATTTGTATCAATCCACCTGATAACCAGACCTGGGAGAGTCTCAGTTGTCATTAGAACAGGCTGAATAGAGAAATCCTAAAGACAGTTTGTATGAATTTGGGAAAATTGGAAGTGGTCAAAAATGAAATGGAACGCATAAACATCGATATCTTAGGCATTAGTGAGTTAAAATGGACTGGTATTGGTC